TGCTCCCCTCAGCAGTGTATTTCGTCAGTCTGTCTGCTCTATTCCCCGCTCTGGCTCTGGTGAATTCTCTCACCCTCCCGTGCTTCTGACTGTACCCAGTGCTTGTATAAATAAATAAATAAATCTTTAAAAAAAAAAAAAAAAAGAACAAAGGCAGGGATCTACGCAATTAATAACATGCAAATTAGTCTTCTCTGGAGGCTGTTTGGTTTTTAACATAGAGAGCCAGAAGAACATACAGAGACTCTGTGCACACATGTGCACACACCCACTATCATAACCACAATGGCCTCCGGATCAGGCATTAGCAGCCCAAGCACGGAGACGTCAAAAAGGCACCAAGGCAATTAGTGGTGTCCCTTCACCAGCCCCCACAGACCTTCAGGCTTTGGCACTTCTCTCCCCCTCCCGGCTCATGCAGCCCCCAGGTCTTTGTGTGGCTCACCCCCTACCTCCATTTAGGTCTCAGCTCAAATGCCATCTCCCCAGAGGCCTGAGCTGGCCACCTCATAGGTGCCCATCTGCTTACTAGTTTAATTTTTCTTTATAGAACATTTCATTCCCGAGCATTATGCTCTGTTCTTCTTGTCCAATAGCCATCTCCCCGCCGGCCACGGGGCCCCAGGCAGGCCACGGGCTGCCTGAGGCTCTAGCCACAACCGCATGCCAGAGCCTTGGGCAGTCGCTGGCCTGCAGCTAGCACTCAGTCAGTGCTAGTGGAGTGATTGAATGATTGCTTTTCCTTCTCCGTTCCCCTACTTCCTCTGCTGCTCTCACCTCTTCTGCTTCCACCATGAACCTGCTGGCAGATCGGCCCTCAGGAAGCTGTGGGGCAGGTGAGTTTTATGGACTGGGCTCCTGTCTTTTGACCTCCCTTTCCTGCTCACTGCCAGCTCTGCTTCTTGCTGGGCAGGACCCAAGCTCAGGCATCCCAGGTGATTGTTGGAAAATGGGGAATAGAGGGCCGCTCAGTCTCCAAAGCAGTCCTGCCAGGCTCACGAGGAGCAGATGTCATCCAGGCACCTTCAGCACTGTGACACCACTTCTTGCCTTTCCCACGGGCGCTGGCACCACAGTTATGGAGACTTAGCCTGCCCCTCCCTATGGCTGGATGCCTCTTGTCTGCTGCTGTGATGCCTGCACTGACTCTACACCCACCCCCCTGCTCTCCTCCTGGCTTCTGCTTCCTGGTTTGATACGCTTGGATGCAGAGAGCCAGCTGCATGTCATGTCCCCAGCTGGCCTCGCCCTTTCCCAGCCCACCTGGAGTGCTCCCTGCCTTGCTCCCTTCTCCCTTCTCCCTGCCCCTTCATGTCCCAGGTAGCCTTCAACGCTCAGCCGGACCCTACGATGCCTGCTGCCCTGAAGTCCCCCACCTGCTCAGCTTTCTACCTCTCTGGTGGCCAGTGATCACATGCTCCACAGAGGCACCCCATGTCCTCATTGGCCACTGGACTCACCTGCAAGATTATTACTGCCTGCCATTAGGAGCTGTGACTTCTCTGAAACCTGACACAAAGAGATCCAGGCAAACAGCCTCTTTTCCCAGCAGTCAGCCGTTCCTCGCCTCTTCCACCACCATCACACATACATTCCAGCCCAGCCCACCCACCTCATCTCATGAGGGAAAAAACCCTGAATAGGCTAAACAACAAGCAGGCCACCACAATGAGTATTAAGCATTTCCATTAGGCGCTTCCTGCATGCTGGGTACACATTAGGAGCTTCCTGTATGCTGGGTACATAACTGTGATGGGCTCTCCAGAGGAAGGAAACTGCTTGTGAGCCATAAGGCAAAGGGATTTGGACTGGTCTGCTTGATGAGTGGAAGTGACACTTGTCTGAGACCAGAAGGATGAGCAGGCCTTGATGAGGCACACATGGGACATCCCAGAAGGATGGAAGTGGGCCATGTTCTCCCCACTCCCCCGCCATTGCACAGAAAGTTGAATCTCTTAATAATAGGGAGTTGTATAATTTATTGCCCAAACTAGAGCACTTTTGAGAGTAAAAGTGGGTCTAATTGCAAACCAGGTTCACTGTCCCATTAATTAAGAGCACCACCCTGCTGACTCCTACTCCCCTAGCACAAAAGGAACTTTAGTTATTGGTCAAAGTGGCCAGAGACCAGAGCCTTCACGTGCCCCTGGACCAGGGATGCATTCCAGGAACTGGGTGGGAGTGGAGGGGGTGGTGGAGGGAGGATGATAAAGGCCCGGGAGCTGGAACCCGTGGTGGGAAACTGGGGCAGGCCTGTGTTCCGTAGCCTGTGGGGGGCTGGCAAGGGATACAGTTCACACACAGGTGGCTTCGGCTGGCTGTCCACTGTCCCCCACTGCTCACTTCCTGGTTACTTCAAGGAATGCAGAACTTTGGGTTCCTGTGGCTCCCCTGAGTTTCTTTTTTTTTTTTTAAAGACAAGAACCAGAGTACAGGGCCTCCCCGGTGGCGCAGCGGTTGAGCGCTGGGTTGCGAAGCTGCCCGCAGCCTCTGCGGCACCGGTTCGATCCCCGGCTGCTCCCCGGCCACCACAGGAGGGTCCCACATGGCGCGCAGACCTCTCCTGCCACCCGCTGCTCCCCTCAGTAGTGTACTTCGGTCCTTCTGCCTGCTCTGCTCCCTGCTCTGGCTCTGGTGAATTCTCTCACCCTCCTGCGCTTCTGACTGTACCCAGTGCATGTATAAACAAAACAAACAAACAAACAAATAAATAAATAAACATGCCTCTATAAAATAAAATAATAAAATAAAAAAAAAGAACCAGAGTACAGGCCAGATGTGCAGGACGGTGAGAGGATTTACCAGAGACAGAGTCGGGAACAAAACAGGCAGACTGATGAAATACTAGACAGGAGAGGTCTGCTGCACCATGTAGGATTCTCGCTGGCTGGACGGGAATCGAACCCGCGCTACACAGGCTGCGGATAGCTTCACAGGGCTGCACTCAACCGCCTGCACCACCAAAGGAGGCCCTCTCCTGAGTTTCTTTTGCTCTACCTCTTTGTGTTCTTCCTTATCTGAGGTGGAGTATAGATAGAGCCCCATGGTGGGGCGGGGAGGGGGGCGAAGGAGGGAGAGACAGAGAGAGAGAAGAGAGAAAGAGCGGGAGAGACAGCAAGTGCTATTTCCTTCCCCTGTCCCTCTGCATGTCTGCCTCTCACTATTAATACAAGCCCCGTCTGGCTGCACCCCCAGAACATGTGCTCCTGCAGCATAACACCACCCCTCCTAGTTCAGCCTGTTGCCTGTTCTGATGCAATTTTCCATAAATAACCCTTTGCCTAACCTACAATTTAGCCTCTGGGGTTTTTCCCTTAGGATAATGGGATTGTCACCCAGGTTGATTCCTCCTGGACCCCTAAGTTCCAGAAAGCAGATCTTTGGTATATCTGGGTTTGGGACACTGTTGAGAATTCCCAGTTCCCCTGTGCTGCTGGGCACATGGTGGGAGCTTGGAACATGCTGAGGGAGGGCAGATGGAGTCCCATGCATCCACGACCAACCGTGCACCCCCTCAGCCTCAGTGCCTTTGTGTGTGCCCTCCACCTAGGATGTCTGTGCTCCCCTCTCCACAGGGTGAACCTCAGTGCAGCACCTGTTCTTGGAAACCTTCCCTAACCTCTACCCCTCATTCCCAGCACAGAGTGAACTACTCCCGTGCCTGTGACCTATAATGTTTTGTGCGTAACACTGTGATTTCATCGTTTGCCCACGTGCCTGTGGGCTCTGAGGAGCTTGAGTGAGTATGAGGGTGGAACTGGGCCCATGCGTGGCTGTGGGCAAAACATTCAACCCTTGGTGCTTCAGTTTCCTCAGATTCAAACACAAACCCAGTTCCAGAGCCCGTGCCCCCACCCACTAGGCCACACTGCCTCTGGTGCCTAGCCGATGAATCTGTTTCCTAGCCACTCTTAGGTTCTGAGCTCCTGAGCCCTGTGACATGCCACATCAACCACACATTCTTGCTCACTGCAGGTTTGGGAAGTAGTAACACCCACTGATACTTATCAGTGACTTGTGATAATGATAATGAATTAAGGGGGCTTCATTGGAAGTTTAAAGTTAAGAAAATCATGGGGAGAAACTCAGTTTACTTTGAAGGGCTCTTGGATTACCCCAAAATAAACGGGACCTGATTTAAAGCTTTGCAGTTGATTGTCCCTCCTTATGGCAATTGAAGAGTCTGGGCCCGCGTCTGGCATGCTTAACCACCTCGATGAGGTAAAGCCTCATGAGCAGTGCAAGACACGTCCTACTGTCAAGATCTTAGTTTCAACGGGGAGGCATAAAATTCACATTTTGGAAAAAACTTGCCTTGGGCTTTCCGTGAGCTGGTTCTGAAATGTACTTGGCTTTGAATCTAGCCCAGCACGAGCAGGGCTTGACCAGGTGACACCCATGGCCCATGATGAATGCGGAATGGGATATAATCAGGAACCGCAGGAGTGGAATGGATAAAAGGCACTGAGACATTGAGGAGAGAGGCGTCAAGGGACTGGAACATGTCTAGAAGGTTTAAGGAAGAGGCGACAAGGAGTTTGAACCCTAAAGAAAGAGCAGGAATTGCTGGGGTGGTCAGTGGGGTGTGGTAAACTAAGGGAGCTGGGATGAGTCAGCAAGTCAACAAGGAAACCAGGTGAAATGGGGGAGGGGAGGCTTCACGGGTCAGGTGGAGAAGTTTAAACTTGATGCTGGGCAAGGAGGCTATTGAAGGAATTTGAGCACAAGGTGTGATGCTGTGAAAACATTTTTGGAAGATAGGTGGGGAGCACACTGCTGAAGAGAGACCACACGGAGGTTATCACCACGGCCAGGGTGAAGGAATGAGGTCTCGGTTTGGACAGGAAGGGACGAACATGACCTTTGAAAGCAAGGACATCACTGCCGCAAGGGCCATCATTCGGCCACCAAAGGGCCCTCCAAGGTTTAAGCCCTAGTGACTAAGAGAAGACTGTTGACTTTGACAGCAAAGACTGTGTGTGGGGTGACAGTATGAGACCACATCCTCTCTGTAATGATTCATTGTCTTTATTAACAATGCCTCTGGATTCTGGAAGAACAGACTGGTATTTCACAAAGCAATATGAACATTGTCATTCTCTACAAGAAAAACTTTTGCATAAATAACTTAAGTGAGAAAATAAATATGTAACTTAACTCTTTTTAGAAACCACTACTTTCATTCTTGTGGACAAATCCCACATGAAAGAATTGCCAAAAGACACGACCAGCCGGAAGGCTTTCCCACGGCATGTGCTTCTGTTTAACAACAATTAAAAAAAAACTGAACAATTAAAAACTACACAGAAAGTAAGAGGTGTCTGAAAATGATTTTCAAAAAGATATTTGAGTTAGGCTTTGCAGTTCCTCAGCATATGTACAGCACTTGTAAATTTCCCCAGTAAATTATTTTAATGTAAGATAAAGCCGTCACACAGAAGGGTGGTAAGAAGCTATTTTCTAGGCACAAATGTATCCACGAGTGGCGGGCAGGAGGAGGTGGCTCCGAAGGGATCTGCTGGACTTTGCACAGGGGGTGGCTGCTCCCTCAGGCCTGAGAGCCCAGTGTCCTGGGACCTTGAACTTCTCTGCAGAACGTGACTTTACAATATGGCCGTGGAGTGGGGGCTGCATTCTGGGAATGGGGGAGTAGGGTGTTTTCTGTCCCTCCAGCCACCCTTGGGACCTTCTCCTTCTCTACCCTGATGGATGGTGCTATTTCTGCATCATTGGCCACAGAGGGGTGGAGGTAGCCAAACATCTGGGGAAGCCAGACTGGGAAGTAACACAATTCTCCAGGAGTGTGCCATAAATAGGCTCTTTTCATTTTTCCTGCTTGTTTTCCAGCTTTGGCTGTAAGGTCACAGGATCACAGCTCGGAATTCTGGAAATGACCCTGGCAGGGATACACTCAGCCTCTCTCAGTGCTCTGCTCATTCAAAGCCACCGAGTCCTGCAAACCCATGACAGCAGATTCCTAAGAAACTAACCCCACTCCTACCTCCATTTTCCAAAAAGGAAATGGAAGTCCAGAAAGCGGAGTGTGTGGTCCTAGGTCACCAGCAAGTTAGTGGCACAGCCACCAGAACCCCTATCTACAGACCCCAGTCCTGTGTTCTCCGCATAACGCGGCACTAAATGCTTTGTGACCAGCAGAGGTGGAGGGGACTCTCACCCAACTTTCTCAACCAGCTCCGGCACTCTTCTCTCTCCCCACAGCTCCCTTAAAACCCTAGGGCGATGAAATGCTTCTTTTCGGCCCTCTCTGAAGTGGGGCCAGTAAAAGTGGTGGGCGGGACTGCGTGGCTCAGTGTCTGTGACTCTCGCTCCCTCCCCTGCCCCGCGGGACCCCCTCGGCGGGCGGGGAGAGGAGGGCTTTGCTGGCACCCGGGGTCCGCAGGCCCTGGCGACCTCCTGCCCAAGCCAGGCGGGTCTCGACCCCCTGCCCGGGGTTGCAGGCATTTAAAATGAAATACAAACAATCAAACCGCGCGCAGAGGGCAGAAACCTGGGGCGCCCGCTGGGCCGGCGCCGGCTGGGGAGGCTGGGCGGGCGGCTCTAATAGGCGTTCTCCAGCTCCGCCTGGTTGGCTTTGGCGCCCCGGGCGCGGGGCCTGGGCTTCCTGCCCTTCTGCGGCCGCGCGGACTCGGGCCCGAAGTCCTTAAGCTCGGACTGGTTGTGGAAGCGGGTGAGGCGCTTGCACTTGCACGAGGCCACCAGGCGCACCTTGCGCGCGCGGGGCGCGGCGCCCCCGGGGCACAGCAGCTGCACCCGCTGCGCGCGGTAGCGGTCGGGGATGCAGCGGAAGTCGGGCCCGCTCGGGCGCCACCACTTGCCGCGGCCGATGGCGTTGGGGAGCAGGCGCGCGGGGCCGCACTGGCCCGAGCACACCAGCTCGGTGACCGGCTTGGAGCTGCGGCAGGGCCCGTCGGTCACGTAGCGGGTGAAGTGCAGCTCGCGGCAGCTGTACTCCGACGCGTCTGCGGAGAGAGGAGCGCGTGAGGGAGGCGGCCCACCCGGCTCCCTCCACCCCACCCAGCCTTTTGCAAACGTGCCTCCGCCCCCCGCCTCTCTGCGGACACCTCCGTCCCCGGGCACCGCGCCCCGGGACACTGGGAGTGGTGGAAAAATTCCCAGCCGGCCCCTTCGCAGAAAAACTTTGGCGGCAAGGGACTAGCTCCATCACTGGGTGATCCTGGGCAAGTGACTCAGCCTCTCTGGGCTTCCTGTCTGTAAAACCAATCGTCCTGGGCATTTGGTGAGCTAATCAGTAACATATAAAGTGCAGGGTACACCACCTGGCACACAGTAAGAGCTGGGAGTGTGGACTGTCCTTAGGGGTGACCATTATTCCTCTCCAAGGGGTCCTCATCGCCAGACTTAAGCCACACCAGTGCTGCAGCTTCCCAGGCCTGGCCCTGTGAGGTGCTACCACCCCCTCTGCAAGGCTCTGGCTCTGGTCTCTCCCAAATTCCTCTTGCAGCCACTTGGGAGGGGTGGAGAGGGAGTGGAGAACGGAGCAGGGGTTAATTGATGGTAATAAATCAGGGCAGCAGCCAGAGGAGCAGGATGCAAGGGGAGGTGGTAAGAAGTCCTCAGACTTGAAAGAAAGCAAAGGCAGCAGGTCCAGCCCCCTCACAATCATCCAGGACACTAGGGCCCCAAGAGGGAAAGGCACTTTCCCCAAGGGCAGAGCTGGGGCTCCTGACTCTGCTTTCCTAGGGCCCTGTACCTCTTGGCTCCCCTAAGGGTGGAAGCTGTATGCCCAAGCACCCATGGGAGACTGCTCTGGGACTGGTGAGGATAAAGGGCTGCTTTCTACTACAGCTACTTCTCTACCGGGGGTGGTGGGGGGGACCGAGTTCTAACCGAAAACCTACAGTTTCGGCTGCCACAAACATTTAGTAAGCCCCTGCTGTGTACCAGGCTCTCTGCTGGGCACACCTCTTATTCTGTGCCACATGAACGGACAAGACGGTGACACAGGCTTGCTCCCTGGGTAGGGAGATGGGGCTCTGAGGCCTGGTTTAGTCCACTTAAGGCACCTTGATGGGGTCTCCTACTGTGGGCTTAGATGGGAAGGAGCTTTTAAAATAGCTGATCCTCATGTGAGTGCCTGTCTACCTCTAAGGGTCTCAGAAGGACAGTTCCAACATGACAAGATGGTGAGAAATAGTCCTAAGACCAAAGCCAGAGGGGGGCAGAGAAGGCCACCCTGGCTCTGAGCACGGCAGGAGCGGGTGGGGGCCTTCCTCCTGTAGCTAGCTCCTGCCTCTGGATTGGTTTGGCACCCTCACCTTGCTACCAGGCTGCAGGGGTGTTGTGTGGGGGCAGCCTGTTTGCCCAGGGAAAGAGGCATTTTGGGCTTTCCAAGAATAGTGCCCCAGGTCAGCACTTCCTCTGCAAGTGACTTTGTTTTGAACCTGTGGCTCCCTCTGGGCCGGCAGCCACATCTTGCACTACACGTACAGCCCCTCCTTTGAGCTTAGTTGACCTTGCCTGGGGAAGGCAAAAAGGGGGTGCATCCACTCTTCCCTCCCTGTTTGGAAGACTCAAGGTCCTCCCAGCCTCCCCTGGGGTCACCATTTGCAGAACCCCCATTGCCAGCTGGTTGTGAGGCAGAGAGGGATGGGATGCCAGAGCCTAGGCAGCAGACTCCTTCCCACCTGGACAATGGCCAGAGGGCAGTGAGACCATCACTCTAAAGTGTCATTCCAGCCCCCGCCCCCTGCTGTTCCTGCCAGCTGCAGAGCCAGCTGTGCACACTGCCCCCCAGGCTCCTCTGTGCAGCCTTGACCAGAACCCAGGTGTGCCCTCCAGCGGGCCATTGCCTCTCCACTCTGCTGGGGTTGAGCTCTATCCCAGGAGTGAGGCAAGGCTGCAAGTGGAGTGGGAACTTACGACAGTGGGTGCCACCTGTGTCTGCTCCCTGCACAGAGGAGAAAGCCTGCCCTGCAGGGCCCACACCCAGCTGCCACCCAGCTCAGAGGCTAAAACTGCCTGCAACTCCCATTCCTCTGAATGCCAGGTCACTGAGCAGACGTGGGCAGGGGAGCTAAGTGGGGCCTCTCTGGCATCCCTTTCTCACTGCTTTGTGAGGATTTGCTCCAAATCTTGGACCCTACCCACAGTTCCCCTCCAGGCCTGTCTTGGGATCAGATCCAGTTCGGTTCAAATTGCAGCTCTTCTACTAGCAGGGTGCTTCATCTCTGGGCCTGTGACTTTTGACCTTCAAAGCAGAAGTCCACCTGCTGGTGAACACAGAGGGGCCCTGGGGTGCTGTGTAGGCCCAGCTCACATAGACTCTGGCACCCAGCAGCACTCATAGGTGTGAGGCTCCTGTGTCCTGTCTCCTCCCAGTGGCACCAGCTGATGGACGTGGCTCCTCTAATCTCAGGGAGGGATTCTCCCAAACCTTCTCCTTTCGGAGCTCCTGTCCACAGCTGTATCCTCACCACCTCGGCCGCCTTCCTGACCCGGGATCTCACCACCAGCTCCCTGCCCTGCTCTCAAATTCCAATGCTGCTCTGACTGCCAGCCTTTTCCTCCTCCAGGCAGGACGTACTCTCCACTGGGTCTGGCAGTGACTGATGGCTGTAACCCCCCAGTTTTCCAAATCTCCCCAGGAGGACCCTCCCAGGACCCTGCTGTTAAATACGCTCCCCATCACCCCATACCTTTGGTCTCAAAGGGGTGGTGGGGAGGCCTCCCTCCGTTCTCCGCCCGGTTCATGGTCTTGTTGTTCTCCAGCTCTGGAGGAGGCTCGGGGTACTCTCCGAGCTCAGGGATGATTTCCGTGGCGTCGTTCTTGAAGGCCTGCCACCCCTGGCCCTCCACCACATGGAAGGCTGCATGCACCAGCAGGCAGACCAGACACAGGGCAAGAGAGAGCTGCATGGTGCCAGCAGAGGAGGGCACCCAGCCTTCCAGTAGCACAGGCTCCAGTCCCCAGCTGGGACACGGTGGCCTTTTTAAAGCCCCCTCTGCCTCATGCCAGCCAATGAGGATAGGCTGGGGCAGGGCTGGTCCCATGCTTCCCTCAGCCCAGGGGGAGGGAACGGGGTGTGCTCAGAGTCAGCCCTCCCCAAGACTTCTCCTCAAGCACAGCAAACTTCCAAATTGCGGCTGGTGCTCCCAGGTGACCCAGATGGGGGTGGGTGCGAGGCCTGCCAGCTCTCCAGCACCTCCCACGTGCTGGCCTCTGTGGTTTGCCGATAGCACGATAGCACGGAGCTGGGCTCTTAATCTCTACCTCCTCAGCCCCTCAGGCTTTCTCAAAACAAACCTGGGGCCAGCTTCCCAAAGGGAACTGCAGCTCAGAGTCTTCTGCAGGGCTGAACCCAGCCCAGCCCATTTCTCAGGCCAAGTTCATTAATCAAGCCAACTAGTGGCCCCCACCGTCCCGGGCAGACGTGGAAGGACGCTTTTCAAGAAATTTTACTGCTTTCCATTCCACAACGCTCGGCATGGACTATCCTGACCAAGAAAGCCCCTCTTAAAGAAAGAAAACTGAAGCCACACGGGGGTGCCTGCATGGGCGAAAGGGCGGGGAGCAGGCTCTTGTGATGGAGGCGAGGAGTACACCTCAGCCCGTGCTCCTGGGCGTCCTGCGCGTGGTGAGGCGCGCCTCGCCGGACACTGTAGCTGCAGGCAAATGTGCCCAAGGCGGCTGTTTCCCCGGTCAGGCTGTGGGTAGGAGTGGCAGGCACAGCAACTCTGTCCTTAGCATTAGCCAAGGCAACATTTTTAGTGCTGACCTTTTTTTCTCATCTCCCAGCCTATTACCTCTTTTCAAAAACCATTTTGTGTCCTGTCTGGAAAACCTCATTGGTGCAGGCCACAGCCTGCGTTCCTTGAAGCCATCCCAAGTCCAGCGAGCCACAAAGAAACGGAAAGGAATTGCTGCCTCAGCCCCAGCAGAGTGAGGGGGTTGGGAGGGGGAGAGACCCAGGGCAGAAGGTTCACACCTGAGGTGCCAGAAAAGAAAGGAGGCTTTCATGCAGGGGACTGAGGAGGAGGCTGGCCAGGCCGCCGGGCCCTGGGAGGGAGGCTGGGCAGAGGGCTGTGGCCCAGGTCCCCTTGGTATGTTCACTGGGCAATGAATCAGCCCGCCCCACCTGCAGAGCCTCTGTGAGGCGTTTGCCACCTGCCTCAACTTGTAAGTCACTATGTCCATCTGCGGCCGTCTGTCCCTCCTTCTTCCCATCGCCCATCAGTCAAAACATGAATGCAGCTGCCTTGACAGTTTTACAAGCCAGACAGCAGCCCCTGCAGGAAGGGCCCTCTCTGATACCTGCTTCCTAAGTCAGCTTCCTTCGGGGCAGAGGAAAACAGCTGTGGCCATTGTTGGGGGGATCTATCGCTCCCAACAGAGCCAGCGGTGCTGTGAGAAGCTGGCCCTCCAGCCCCCTCCCCTTGTCTGTGAACCTCCACGCTCTGGAATGTGGACCGTTAACCCTCTGTTGGCCGGACAACCGCCCACTTGCCCTGGACTCGGCGGTGCGGATGCCAAGAGGCCGTGAGCGGGCGGCATGGACGCCGCAGCCCCACCTGCCGCTGGAAGCGGAGCCCGCGAGGACCCTCCCCGTGGGACACTTCTGCCCCCTGCTGGACACGGGAGGGAGAGGCCGCTGCCGGAGGACGGCGAGACTCGGGAATTCGGTTTATTATTTTATTTAAAACTGAAATAATGCAAAAAAAAAAAAATGAACTAAGGTAAAAAGAAAAAAGCAAAGAGTCCCGTGGACTTGAACCTCTAAAATATCTGCCTCCTTTTGTATTGTTCTCAGCCACTGGGTGGCTGTGATTTTCACAGAATGGCACCTGCTATGATGCCAGCAGTTGTTTTTTTTTTAAGATTTATTTATTTATGCATACAGGAGCTGGGGTACAGGCCAGAGATGCGGGGTTGAAAGGATTCCCTGGAGCCAGAGTGGGGAGCAGAACGGGCAGAAGGAGCGAAAGTACTGCTGAGGGGAGCAGCGGGCGAGACAGGAGAGGTCTGCTGTGCCATGTGGGTTTCTCCCTGGCTGGCTGGGGATCGAACTCGTGCAGCAGAGTCTGTGGATTGCTTCATAGTGCGGTGCTTAACCCCTCGCGCCCCCAGGGAGGCCCAACGCCCGCAGCTTTTTTTACTTAAGGCTAATTTCATCTTGATATTTACTCAGTCCACACACTTGTTTTTCATAGCGGGACTATACTCCCTCCACCACATGGAAGGCTAAGTGCACCAGCAGGCAGACCAGACACAGGGCAAGAGAGAGCTGCATGGTGCCAGCAGAGGAGGGCACCGGGTCTTCCAGTAGCACAGGTTCCTATGTGATTTTTTTAAGCTTTTAATTTTGAGATGAAATTAGAGAGAAAAGTCCCATGTTCTCTTCACCCACTTTCACTCAGTAGTACAACATCACAGCCTGGCTATTGGCATTGATAGAATCCACTAATTTCACTCTGATTTCCTTCGTTTTCCTTGCACTGGCATGTGTGTGTACATTTGTGTTGGTTCTAGTACATTACAGTCAAGATAAAGAATTCATACAGATCTCTCTCTTTGTCCTTGTATAACCACACCTACCCTCCTCCTGTGCCCCACGTCACCCCAACTTATGGCATCACCAATTTGTTGTCATTTCTATAATTTTGTAATTCTAAAAATATTAGATAAACGAAGTTGATCACTGTGTAACCTTTTAGGGTTGTCTTTTTTCACTTGGCATAATTCCCTGGAGGTCCATCCAAGTTGTGGCATGTATCCACAATCTGTGCCTTTTGATTGGTGAGTAGTATTCCACAAAGTTGTTTTTGTTTTTTTTTTGTTTTTTTTTTTTAAGCTTTAGGGTTATTTCCAGAAGTGAATGCTGGGTCTGAGAGGATGAACTGTTTGCCACATGTTGCAGGATTGTTCTCCAGAAAGTCAGCCAGGTCCCAGGTTTCACCAGCACCATGAAAGTGGGCACATGGGCACTTGTTTGCTAGGGCTGTTGAAGCAAAACACCACAGCCCAGGGGCATCAGTAACTGCAGTTTATTGTCTCAGTCCTGGAGGCTGGAAGTCTGAGATCAAAGTGTTGGCAGGGTTGGTTCTTTCTGAGGGCTTCGTGGAAGAGTCTGTTCCGTGCCTCTCCCCTAGCTTCTGGCAGCTTGCAGACAATCTCTGGCATTCTTGGCTTGTACAAGCATCATCCCGATCTCCGCCTTCATCTTCACATGGTGTCCTCCCTGTGCGTGTCTGAAGCCTAATTCCCCCTTTTTATAAGGCCATCAGTCATATGGGATACGGATCCACCCGAAATGACCTCATCTTCATTACATCTGCAGCAAACCTACTTCCAAATAAGGTCACAATCTGAGGTACTAGGGGTTAGGGTTCAACATGTGAGTTCTGGAAGGATGCAATTCAATCCGTAACTGCATTTCTCCACAAGGCTGCCAATGTGGGATTTGGGCTGTTGACATTTTGTCAATTGAATTTAATAAAAGTTGTGCATCCGTTTCTAGCCAGGCTGTTTCTCTACGTGATGATTTACTGGTTTTCTTTTCTACCTAGCTGCCAGTTCCTGCAAGCAGTTAATGAGCAAGACTTGTCTCCAGGAGCTAGGAACTGAACCCCACACACACACCGGCACCCCAGATCTCTGGGAATAAAAGTTCTTCATCCAAATAGCTCCACTTTCAGGTAGAAAGTGATTGGTGCCACTAAGAAAAGGTTCAGATGCCTTTTTTATTGTCTTTTTTAAGGACAACACATTTTGGACCTTTAGAGGAGAGAACAATCTCTTCCCAGGGTGGATCTGGAATCTTCCCAAACTCTTGGGCATGGCATTTGGACCAAACTTTAGAGGACAGGCCAAATTTGGTCAGTTATGTGCCTTTGACATCTCAGGATCATAGTTTTTGATCTGAAAGGAACCTTAAAGTTCATCTAGTTTCATTCTCCACTTGGTTCTCAAGCCATGTCTCTACTTCATAGAAATTGAGGATTTTCCGTATTGGCTGCACTTTTCAACAGTTTTTGCTCCCACAGGTCAGTGGCTGGAATGCAGTATCTGGATTTAGAGAGCGGTCTGTTTATGGATGGTTGTCTGCATTGTGGGGTGTCCAAATCTCCTGTCTTTAGTCTCGGTTGAGAACTGGTTCTCTATCGAGTTCAAGGTCTGGGCACCAGTGGAAATCCCCTATTTCCTCATCCAACAGTTTGTGAGGGACAAGGGCAAGAGGAGCCCTAAGGAGCTCCTATCACTCATTTTGCTATTTAGAATAGGCTAATGGCTCACCCAGCCCTAACATGATAAAATTTTCTGCTTCTTTCTATCTGGTCAACCAGACCCTTCAAGGAGGGTCCCAATTCATCCAGCCGGTGGTCATTCAAATGACCACTCTCTGTCTGGAGGGCCCCATGTCCTCAAAAACTTGATAATTATTTTTAGAAATTAAAAAATGCAAACATAAAAGCTAAGCAAAAAAGCATGGTTGTTAAAAAATGGGACTTTACTCAAGAAGGTACTATGGTGACAGCTATAGGAACCAGTGGGGGAGAGAGATTGGGCTCAATTCTGAACAAAACAAGGAAAAGTGGGAGCAGGCTGGGGGTGTGGGGGAGATGGTGATAGATGGAAAATTACTAAGAGTAAACACCAGTGATAAGAAGGAATCCTTAGTTAAATGGACCACTGGGATTCTCACTAGAGGCAACCCGTGACAGACATCACCCTATCAGATGCAGAGGCCTTCAGAAATGGAGAATGTGGATTCAGGATAAATGGACTTAACACTGGAGAGATAGACAACAAATATCTCCTGTATAAATACGATCATTATGGAACCTCTAACTAGCTCAGGAAAGCTAATTTTTTAAAAGTTAACAAAAAAGCAAACATAAAAGCTAAGCATAAAAGAAAATTCAATGCTCATGAGTAGGAAAACAACCATTTCTTTGTAATGTAAGACTTTATTTTGGTTACCCTTTTAGTTTTAACACTGATTTGTGACACAGCAGACGTTAAACTTTATTTTTTAACCAATGGATAGCTTCCCTTTTCTGTCCAGAAAATTCACACTTTCACAATCAAATTACCCTAGAAGCTGACAGGAGGTAATTAAAGCTTCCACCAACTGGGTCTCTCAACTGGAGGTGATCGCCATTTACAGTCAGGATAAAATCTTGACTAGGAAGGACCATCATCGTTGGCTCTTTAGTGATATTTTACACTGGTTTTATAACAAAGGAAATTTTCTGTGAGAAAAGTTCATATTCTCATTAAATCAGTGCTTATTTTGATGAAAACTTTGTTATCTTAACATTAACTTGTGACTCAAGAGGCACCAACATTTTGAATCCTCACCACAGATGGAAGACAACGCCACCTGCTGGTCACCATGTTATTACATAACCCATCTTTTTCAAGTGGAGTTAAATTCCAAGTGGGAATTCTTAGAGAAATCGACAGTGTTAGAGCCGAAAGGAACCCAAGGGGCCCTCTAGATGAGTCTCCCTGCTTGATGAATGATGATGTCTGCTCTCCAGATAACTCAGAGTGGCAGGGAAACAAACCAGCCTGTGGAATGTGAACTGCTTTAGAATTCATGCAACTGTCTGGTGCTCTCCTTTTGTCTAGATGGGCTCTGCTAGTCAAACAAATGATCAGGTAAGGGGAGGGGAAAGGGCACCCTGAGTTCCTGCTCCACCACTTCCCAGGGGGAGGAAGTTGCCAAGGAACAGCTTCCCCACACAGCTGGGCATGTGTTGGCTTCTACATATTATTTTATTCAAAGAATGAGGAGCTAAATCTTAAGTAAATATGGGGCTTCTGGGACTAAAGACTACAGAGAAGTGCCAGGGTATCAGCATATAAGTAGCCCCAAAGTAAGGGGGCTTCCCTATGGCCTTGTCTCCCTCATGCCCTCACACCAGGATCTTGAGGCACCCTGGTTAGCTAGCCACACCAACCTGACATGCTCACCTGTCGCTGTGGCTGTCCTGTGGGTTGACTGCTGCCTAGGCCTGGGAAGGAACCCCCAGGTCTAGCCCCTCAGCCTCTTCCAGAAGTAGAGCAGATGCTCTGACTTGTGGATGTCGCATATGTCTTGGAAGAAAATCCACATATTCTAACCCAAGTGGGGACCCACATTTTGTGCTTCCTTTTCCAGGAGCGGGGCTGGGTTTGTGCTAACTCTATCCATTCTAATCCCGAGGCCCCCAGCACCTCAGCCTGAATCATGTCCACAAAGCTGACTGGCCTTGCGCACAAGGGCTAGGGCAAGGGCCTGATACTCCCAGAGTGTGGTATGAGGAAGAATTCAGCCTTAAAGAGCAGTAAAGCTGAAACTTTGCCTCAGCTCTGCCTTCAGAGCTCTGTAAGCATGAACCCTGATTCCTTTTTTCAAAAGGTAACAATATATGAATAAACTCTACCAAATGTATAAGGTTACTATGAGGGTCAAATTAGATTAAGTGGGGAGAGTTACAGGGAAACTGTGAGGTACTTAGAGGATGACCATTTCACTTAGGTGGGTCTCTCTGGCCTAGAAAACAGGTCCTAGTTTACTTAGTGTGGCTGCGGTCACAGCGGAAAGGGGACCCACAGTGGCCAGAGATCATGCACCTGTGAGGCCCGGGTACGCCTGCTTCTCCTCACCCTAGCCGGAAGCTCCTGGTCAACTCTGAAAAAGGCACATTCCCCACCTGGGCATATTAACACTGCCTGAATTTAAATTTAAAACTGAATTTTAAATATTCAACAAAAGTCCCTGATATTTCGCTTCAGATAAGACTCCTTTGCAAATCCTTATATGTGATCCTACCAGGAAGTTAGGCTCCTAGGAAAGTGCTATGCCCACCAGAACAACACCCTACATATATTTGGTGCTCAAAAAAGTTTAAACACACTTTTGTCAGACACCAATGTGCTGGGCACTGGGGGCGCGGCTGAGGGCCACCTCTGCACCATCAGGGAGCCTGAAGGTGGGAGCTCCTCATGGCTTTCCTGAAGACAACGTGAAGAGTCCCAACCAGATGTGTTCAAAACCAAACTTCTATATTCTGACACACGTGCACACAAGTGAGTGTGAGTGCTAGTGTGTTCCGACATCATCCGAAAGAAGGCCTTAAAAAGGTGATTTCTTTCCATTTGTTTGCACTACCAGTAAGGGCCCCCTTGGAGGCTCCGCCATATTTCACTTCTGCTTGGCTGAGACATTTTTGCTCCCAAGGCTCCCAGATCTTTTCTGGCACCAGAGCTAGAAGAACTACCTGTGCATGGGGAGGGTGTTAGCCTGGGAGCGCTCATCTCCCTACTTGTCCTCTGGCTGTGTTTCTGAGAGACACCCCCTCCACTACCACCCCTACCCCCCACACGCTGTAATTGGCCAACTTCCGCTTTCTGTTCTTGGAATAGCAACGGAGACAAAAAGCAGTTAGCACGAGTGGCTGGGGCTCACCAACACTATAATTCAGGACAAAACCCTTGTAATTCTCCAAATGGTGGGGTTTTTAAATAGGCTGGACTTCAACACCCTGTTTTCTAAAAAAGAAAAAACCATGCCCAAGGCACCGCTCTTCTAACAAACGGTGACTGAGAGCAGCCAGGGGAAATGTTCCAGTGGATTCGGAACTCAAGCCTCCCAAAGGCTCACATTTTAAAAACTTTTGATTTACAAGAACCCTGCAGGAGGGTTTGTTTGCCCACTGCAGGGTCCCTTTGTTTAGGTATCTTTCACCCTAAAGAAATAATTAAAATTCAGTCTCTTCATGGAAATTTCCACCAACAACTGACGGCTGCCCTCACACCAGCTTCAGACCTCCTGACACGCCTCTGCCTATGCACGGGTGTAGATGGCTGTGAGGAGACTGGGGCGGGCTGGGGGAGAGAGGGCCGCGTTTGCATAGTTCCTTTACAGGGTTCTAGGTGCTGTGGTCCCCACTCAGGGGAAGACCCAGGAGCGAGGGGTGGGAAGTGGGGGTGGGGAGGTCCTGAGGGCCCCTGTAGGTGTCTTGGGCCTTACACATCCACAGACCTCCTGCCCTGGGCCATCAAGAAGCATGCAGGTCACAGGCAATCACCCTCTGTGCCTCCACCTCAGGGAGAGGACGTCATAAATCGTAGGCCCCGGACACACGGAGGAGCGAGAATGCCCTCTTACAAGCTCCTTTATATGCCCCCGGGGGGAAGTGGCCCAGGGCCGTGGGGGGACAGACTGTGGCAAGTGCCTGGTGATGCTGGGAACAGGGTAAGTGTTTCCTAAACATGGCGACACGGGACTCCTCGACCGGGGACTCCCCCATCAGACCTCCAGAGAGGAGGCAGTGGTAGGGGCACCCTAGAGTTTCAATTTCCCCTCTTTGACTAGTCTGTCATTGAGCTGGCAGAGCTGGGCCAGGAAACCATCATTGGGACCGATCTCGCGGTTCTGCCTCACGATGCTCAGGGCAGACTTGACGTCCATCTTCTGGCGCATCATGAGGTACGCGATGACTAGAGTCGGTGAGCGGCTGTACCCTTCACGGCAGTGGACAAGCACTCGGCCTGTAAGAAACGGGGACGCTGTGAACCGGGGACATCCAGTCACCCCAGGACTGCAGTTAAAACTCTTTCAGGAAGTGCAAGGGAAAAGTGCAAGATGAAGCCATTCTGTACCCAGCAGAACGGCTAAAATGAAGATGGCAGGAAACCCTAAGCACTGGGAGGCTGTGGGCCAGCCAGGCCTGGTCCGCGGGGTGTAGAGGGGTGTAAACAGGCACACTGCTGAGGAAATGGGTGTGGCAGTACCTCCTCCAGCTAATCACAGGCAGCCCCACGGCCCAGGAAAGGGCACACACAGACGCCAAAACCCACCATGCACCAGCAGGTTCTCAGGCAGCACTACCCATAACAGCCCCAAGTTTGAAACCCCCAAAGCTTATACAATGGCAGCATGGTAGATAAATAATAAAAACGCACAATCGACAAGAACATGGAACACACAGGAGGTGTAAGGTCTGTGCTGTGGAAAGTCTGAATAGCGGTAACCCCGGGGCTGGGGTAGTGGGGGAAACAGGCAAGGGGGCTTCTTGGGGAGCTGGTCAGGGTCTGTTTCTTGATCCGGGGGCTAGTACATGGGTGTGTTCGGTTCACTGGGCTACACACCTGTCACATGAGCACTTCACTGTATAAATGTATTTCAGTCAAGAAAAACATGAAGAGGGGCCTCCCTGGTGGTGCAAGGGTTAAGATGCAACCTATGAAGCCATCCGCAGCCACTGCAGCATGAGTTCAATCCCTGACCAGCCAGGGAGCAACCCACATGGCGCAGCAGACCTCTCCTGACTTGCCCGCTGCTCCCCTCAGCAGTGTATTTCGGTCAATCCGCCTGTTCTGTTCCCCGCTCTGTCTCTGGTGAATCCTCTTACCCCCCACACCTCTGGCCTGTACCCCAGCTCTTGTATGCATAAATAAATAAATCTTTAAAAAAAAAACCATGAAGAACCCAACCGTGCATGAACAGGCAAATGGAGGAAGGAACTGGGACACCTCCCTCGCCTGGGACGCCACTCAGATCTGAAAGGATCGAGCGACAGCTGCATGCGGCAGAGTGGCCGAGATGCGGGCGCTGAGCAGAGAGGGAAGGCGAGCAGCACACATGCTGTGATTCCATCCCCACGAAACTTACAAAGTGCACACGGACATCCAGTGATGGAAAGCAGATCAGTGTGGCTTAGCAACAGGGGAAGAGAGGCAGGGGAGGGGGAGGTCACAAAGGGACATGAGGAACCTCTGGGGTGATGGGATGCACACCACCATGGCTGGGGTGATGGATCCCGAAGTGTATACAAATGTTGAAACTTATCAAACTGCACACTTAAGTGAGTTGAAGGACTCAGGAATCCCTCAACAGAGCAGTTTCAAAAATAAATGGAACACACGTGTGAAATACAAACACAAACCAGGCAAAAAATACACACAGACACACATGCAGAAATATCTTCTCACGGCAGCCCCATGGGCCCATGAGGCCCTACAAAATCTGGCTCCCACTCCTCTCCCCTTTCCCTGCACACCAGCGGCCTCTGCACCTGTAACACCTCTTTTCCCAAGTGTTTGCTCAAATGTCACCTTCCCAGGAAGGCCTTTCCTGCCCATCCACACTTAAAGGCTCAGATCCACCCCACCCCTTTACTCCCTCACCCACACCTCCCTACTTCATTCTCCCGGTTTATCTTTTTCACTTGTTTACTGTCCCCTCCTCCTGAAATATAAGCTCCAGGAAGACAAGGATGTCTGTCTTGCCCCCTGCTGCATCCCTATCATTTGGAAAAAGGGGGGGCAGGATGGGTGAGGGGGTGCCAACAAAGTCCCCCTCTGTGAATCCCCTCCCTTGACCTTCCCAGCTGGAATGACTGCTTCCTCCTCTGAGCACCCCCCCAGTCACTCCCCCCCGCCCCCCCGCCCCCGGCTCTCCAAAGAGGTGGGTCCCAGCTCCCGGCACACTATTGGAGCCCAGTGCATTTCCACTGACTCACTTGGCCAGTGGGTCTTAGAAGCGCTTCCACTGGCCTTAGCGCCCCTGGAATTCATCTCTATGACTGAGTCAGTGACCACCTGCAGCATATCTGCTCTATGCCTGATGCCACCTCAGGTGCTGGGGAGACACAGTGTGAGGGCAGGAAGACAGGGCACTATGCCCAGGGTGAAGCGCAAAGTGGAGCTGGCCAGAGGACAGGGCAGGGAGCAGCGGAGACCTTTCCAAACTGATGCGCCAGCTCGCAAGAGCTAAGGCAGCAGGGTCATAAAAATCAAAGTATGTTCCTAGTCGTACGGAGAGAGGAAACTAAGTCAGGGAACCCTAAGTTCCTTGAACGGATGGCCCATTGATACACGAGAAGAGCCAACTCCATCCCCTTCCCTGGGCCCCTCGTTCTCATCTGTACAGCTGGGGGCCATGGGGGTAGGGAGGGGACACGTTTAAGACCATGAGGGCTGACAGTCAAATGTACAGATTTCCTGGGGGATCCAACTTCCCCCCGAGCCCCAAACATGTGATAACCAGCATCTAGTAAACCCTGCTTACTGGAACTCAGTCCACTGGGCAGACCTTGGCACCAGCAGCAGAGCAGCCAAGACAGACTAGAGTCGGGGACAAGGCTGATCACTCTCGGTGGGGGTGATTTCCCCTGGGAAGATATGGGGTGGAGAGGAAGGAGGGGTTGGAGGAAGCAGCACGAAAGTAAAGGGAGTTGCTGCGAAAAACAAGTTAAAAACAGAAAGGGCAAGTGGCCCAGCCTGCCCTGCTGACCTTCTAAGGTTTCTCTCTGCAACACCTTGCCTGGTTGCCAGCACCTTGGCAGTTCTGCTCCAGTCTCACTCTGTTTGGGAGCTGCTATAGTTTGCTGACCCTCCAGAAGAGCCAAGATGGCTGCCCCACTTGGCTCACCAGGTATGTGACCCAGCAGAGGCCAGTGAGCTGTGAGGGGAACTCCACTGGAGGGCTCTGGGAATGCTCTCCTTGCTCTTAAGAGAACAAGGGGCCTCTCTGATGGCTCAGGGATTAAAGTCTCAGTGCTATCAAGCTATCAGCAGCCACTGTGGCCTGAATTCAATGTCTGGCTAGCCAGGGAGCTACCCACATGGCGCAGCAGACCTCTCCTGTCTCACCTGCTGCTCCCCTCAGCAGTGTATTTCAGTAGATCTGCCTGTTCTGCTCCCCACTCTCTCTGGTGAATCCTCTCACCTCCCACACCTCTGGCCTGTACCCCAGCTCTTATATGCATGAATAAATAAATCTTAAAAAATAAATAAATAAAACAAGAGAACAAGAAGCAGATGGCTGCCTCATCTTTCACTACACCTTGTCCTGTTGGGATGTGGTGACTGGGTCTGCCACAGCCATCTCAGGACCCCCAGGGGAGCACCAACACGGAAGGTGCCAGAGGAGACAGCACACAACCCCTGAGCTGCTGAATCAGCCACCCTGGAGCTGCATCACCTCAGAACATCTTATCATTGAAATACTATGGAAACAAATAAATAAAAAGCATTGAAGCCATCTGAATTGGGGGTGTAGGAGGAAGTGGCTGGAAATTGAACTCTCAGTCAAAGTCAAGTCAAACTCGAGGGCCTGAGGGCTGCCACTGTGCGAAAGGTGGCACAAACACCTGAAGCTTTGTGAACACAAACACCTGAAGCTCTAGATTATTTACCACAGGAGACAGGACACAACAGGTTCCAAGAGGAGGCCTGTTATGGCCCTGTTTTCTAGAAAGTCCAGTCCAAGCTGCCTCTCGTCACTTCCTGAGTGGCAGGTCCCTTACCATTCTTTTGAGCCAAAGCCTGGTCAATGAAGTCTGCAGCCTTTTCAAAAAAGGCGCTGAGGTTGAATTCCTGTGTGTCATTGGCCTTGATGCCCAGGTAGGTGATGCCAGAGTCCTTGTAGAAGCTGGCGTTGGTATTGACGTGCATGAAGGACCTGCCCTCAGCAGCGTTCAGAACGTGGGTGATGCCCAGCTTCTGTAGCTTGGGGATGTCTTGAGCCACAGACCTGGACAGGAAACAATAGCAGATGATTAACTCACCCAAGGGGCGGAAGATGCAGAAGATTCTAAGCCTCTTGGCAAAGCAAGGAACCCTCCATGCTGGCTTCTCCAGCCCATCTTATGACTCCCCTCCCTCACTCCTGTCCCATCTAGTTACTAGCAGCTGCCCAGACAGCCCATGCCGTTCCCTTTGTCTGGAATGCCCTTCTCCACGGACACTCACCCTCTGCAGTATTTCCCAGCTGCCCCTCCATTCCATTTGGCATCATTCTCCCTATCCTATGGTGGTGGGCTAGCCAAGGGGGCAAAGTGAGCTCTAGAGCCAGACTGCCTGGGTCTGAACCCAGCCCTGCCATTTACCAGCCAGGCAACCTCGAGCAAATCACTTAATCACTTCCTGTATCTTGGGTTTCCCTCCTGCTCCCTGGGTTCTTCTGAGTGTTAAGTGAGTAAGTCTATAGACAGAGCATGAAACCACAGCCAGTGCAGCTAATCTCGTGCTTGATTGTGCTAGTCAGCTTAGGTGCCTTGAGGGAGAAGCCATGACTGCTTCTTCAGGTCTGTATGTCCGCAACTGGCAGGGGACCTGGCCAGGTATGTGCTGAATGAGTATGTGTTAATCAGTAAGAAAAATGAAACTGGCACACCTGGGACAGCCTCAGTCCTTGGGTTACAGCAGCCCCCTCCATCCCTTAGAGGGATCCCTCCTGCCACAGTCCACCAGCCTCATATTGAAGCTGCCTTGGGTGAGTTAGCCCTGGGGGAGTTAGTGGCTCCGACAGAACTATGGGGATTACAAAACATTTGATCTGAATAGTCAAAGGGTTCCTTTATTTCAACTCACAACATCCCAATTCAAACAGCAGTTTATACTTTACAAAACATCTTCTACACAATCTCATTGGCCTGTCACGGAAAGTCCTATGAGGAAGGAAGGACAGAGCTTAGCCTCTGGCCTGACAGGACAGTGGAAGGATGTACGTGTGCTCACATGGGCTGCTGAGTGGCAGAGAGGAGAGCTTTCTCCCCACACCTGCACTGTTCCGTCCCCTTCACGCCTCCTCCCCCATCCATGTCAGCCGCCACTCCTGAAACCAGGGAAATGTGGCTCATGAAGGCTCCTCTCTGCCCTGTGAGTCCTAATCAAGAGCCCTGATTTTGCTAAGGGGCTGGTGATGGGTGGGTGAGCAGTGGGTGCTCAGTAGACCCTCCCTGCTAAACACATCACCACCACCACTACACACACACACACACACACACACACACACACACACGTGTGTGTAGTGTTTGTGTGTGTGCATGTGCACGAGGTCAGATTTGCTTGGAGGGCAAGGGATGTGTTTTCTACAATGTCCATCAACACGTGTCACTCTGGCTACCACCAGACACTCGTGACCTTGGTTGTCACTTGAAAAATGAGGGCAAGTGCCAAAATGTCCAAGAGAGCAGGGTTACCATGGGTGCTTGGGTGGCTAGAGAGGAGCTTATCTTTGGAACTTTGCAGTTCCTGGGGCCTTGGACTTAGACTGTAGGTCTCTGTTTTAGCTGTCCCTGCTCCTGACACTGCTCATGATTACAAAGCAGTGGCTGATTAAAAAACAATAAAATAACCAAATGTGAAGTCACTCCCTTCTCCAATACTAATTCAACATTGGACAGATTTTCCATGAGCACTGTCACAGCTATGCGTGAACACTGTACCGTGCCTGACACAATAAGGTGACTGAATGATGGACCCCATATTCTGTCAGGCTGGGGCCTGCCTAGTGGGCCCCTTCTTCCTCTTCAGTGACCCCTTTCTTGCAGCAGTCCTTAGCAGGGTAAGCAGCAGGTCGCCGCCCAAGCCTGGGAACACTGACCATGTCCTCACAATCCCTCAAACCACTCAGTGTTACCATGTCCTCTTAAGTAACTTAAGGGGGTTAGATCTGTGTTTCCAACATGGCTGTCCCCAGCCTAGAGCGCTTAGGGCCCGCAACTGAGTCCTCAACGCTCTCCTCTCCTCTCAGAAGCCCTCTCTGAAGTCTCACAGGCGCGGTCATTTGCTTTTGGTTGTTAAGTTGGGTACCTCTCCGAGTGGTTAACACTGGGATCTCTCCTGCTACTGAGAAGTTCGTACTAGTAATTTGACTAACAAAATGGGTAAATCAGTGTAAGAATTCCTAAGTAATAAATAATAAGATCATTTCCTCGTGACGGGAAGGTCAAAAGCCTTTTCTAAATGATGGCTCAGGTGCTTATGGGGTTTATCCTTGTATCTTTCTAGAATCCCAACTACATCAAATCTAGAGACGGAAGGAGCGAAGAAACCCGGGTCCTCGGGACCCCCTTCTTTGGGGTGTTGGGGGTATTTGGAGCCCACCCCCCCCCCAATCGGGGCAGGCCCGACCCGGCAAATTCCACGCCCTAACTGTGACGTTAGCCCGTTGCCATGGCAGCGAAGGCAGACATTCCGCGGTGACCTCACTGCAGAACCTGGCAGCTGTCACATGACGCGCGGGCAGGAGAGCGGCCCGGCCACAGAGGGCCACCTGTTCAGCGAACGTGCTAGCCCCGACCCCGCCCAAGGCAGAGCCCCCAGCCGAGGCGGCGAGGGCCCGACCCCCGACGGGCCAGGCGGCCCCCAGGGCTGCGCGCGCCCGGAGAAAACGAAGGACGCGCGCGACCCGGGCGGGATCCAGCCCCACCGCCCCGCACGCGGGGGTGAGCGGCGCCCCCGGCCCCCGCCCGGCCCCGGCGGTCGCTCCGGAGGGACGACCACGCCCCGGGACCCCACCCGCCCCGGCTGACACCCCCGCCCCGGCTTTCGGGTGGGCGGGGCGCCCCAGGAGGGGACGGCGGGGTTGGGGCTGGGAGCGGCGACTCACGCGTTGCCCACGTAGATCCTGGGGGTGACCTCGTTGCAGGGCTGGCTCGGGAGGCTGTAGCAGCCGCTGCCGTCGGACAGCAGGTCGTTGAGGTCCTGCACGGAGAGCTCGACCGGGCCCGACATGGCGGCGGCCGGGCCCTGCACGCGGGGCAGCAGCTCGGGAGGGAGAGCGGCCGGGTCAGCTGGGCGGGGGTTCCCGAGCGGAGACCCGCCCCGTCCCGCCCCAGAGGCGGGCCCGTCTGGCGCGGAAAGTGGGGAGCGCGGGCCGCGGGCGCCTCCAATCCCGGGAAGCGGGCGCGCCGCGCACGCGGCCGGGAGGACAGCTGGGCTCGCCCCTGGGGCTGGGAGTACCGCCACTCATGGGTTTCGGGGGTTCCTCTCCCCATTCCCCACTAAGGCAGTTTCTGGATCTTTACGAACTGGGAAGTGCAATAACTTCACGGGATCAAATGCTGAGCGCAATAAAAATTCCTATTGACCTGGAGGCACCTGTGAGAGGAAAAGTGAAGAGCAACCTCCCAGCCGGTGGGTGGCGCTCGTCCGTGGTCAATCGTATGTGAGACGCATTGTAGGGCACCCAGGTAGGCCCATGGAAGCAAAAATAGAAGCAATTCAATCAGCCACTCCTTGAGGATACACTATGGAAAGAAGGAATTTCTCCAATTTAGGGGGGTCCCTTGGTGGAATGGGGGTTGTGTGCCCAACAGTATCCTGCAAGTTGCCCCTGTTGGTTCAGTCTCCCCATCTGGATTTGGGGAAGAGAAAACTGTCCCACTCCAGGGTAACTCCTTTGGCCAAATTAGTTGCCTTGTCTGGTATTGTAACAGGGTGGTCCCCAGGAAGGGGGGAGGTTCCAGGTTCCCTGCCCCACCCAAGGGAGGGTGGAGCTGAGCAGGGAGAGAAGCTGCTGCAGAGGAGACTGAGGAAGGAAACAGGATGGAGCCAGGAGGAGACCTGGAGGAGGTGCATGGAGCCTAGAGACACGTGAAGAAACTGCGCTTGTCTTTTGGTCGTGGACGGGGTGACAGAGATGTGGGTAAGGCCCGTGGGGAGGTGACAATGGCAGCTTTTATCTTGATTTTGATTTTGCTCTGGTGGTTTCTGACCCTTTTCTGGGGGTCCCCACTGGAAGATGCTTTAGACTTGTGGCAGGCTTTGGGGCCTTGCTCTGGGCCAATCCCATTTGGATGGAGTTTTACCCATGAGGAGATGGGTAACTTTGGGTACTTGATTTAGAATCTAGATTCTTTGCCTTTCCTGTATTGTTTCCTAATTGTATTAAAGTTCCTTTCCATTAAAGTCTCATATGTTTTGTGTTGATGCAGCGGATGGCAGAACCCATTTAGAATAGGCAGGTTTGCCCGGTTTGGGCTGCCCCTCTCCCTGCCCCTGTAACAGTATGAGAGGAAGCCTGTCCAGTCCGGTCCTGGAGAGACAGTGTGAAGCCTCCACAGCCTCCCTAGGAGGGGCTGGTTTCTTGGAAAGGGGAAATTTCTTGGATAGGGGTTCTCTGCTTGTGGATTCATAGTCTTCAGTAAATAGTGATCTACCCCCTCCTGTTTCTCCCCTTTACAGTTGTCAGGGTGAGGAGAGGGCTGCTTGCCTCCTCTTTGTGCCAGCAAATGGGCCTCTGACCTTGCTAAATCAAATTCATGGGGGGACATATATTTTGCAGATGGAATGTAAAATTTATATTTTACATATATATAACTGAAAATTTTACATCTACAAAATTTTTCCAATTGCAAAATATCTTGACCCTCTGACCCCATGAGTACACAGCCAAGAAGTGTTAGGGTAAGAAAATACATATGCTTCTTAGGAATTGACTTACACCTGAGCTTGTTCCAGTCAGGCAGAATTTGCCCAAGCTGACTTTCAGCTAAAGTAGAAGGCTCAACCTCTAACCAAAAAGAGGGCTGTAGAAAATGCTCACCAAACACCCAAGAGGCCCTCCGGAAGCAAAAATTCTAAGTTAGAGATTAAAAACCAGACCCATGCGTAAGCCCACAGGGTCTCCCAAAATATCAAAATCAACTTCCATACCCCAGACTTTATCAGATCACCCAAACCAACCAAAACTTAGAACTGTTGAAAGACTGAACCCATGTCTAAATCAAAATATACACAAAGAGAACCCTGCTGAAGTAAAACCAAGCTCCTCCAAATTAGAGACAGAAAAATCCCACCACGTGTTCAGCAATTGCAACACACTTATGGTGGCCAAGGCAAGGAAGAAATTCTTGGGCTGGCCAACCTCGGGTGTCTGGCCCCACACTGGGTGCCAAGCTGAAACAGGGCATACCCAGAGAGATGGGGATGACTTAGTTGGTGGGTCCTCACCTGAAAGCTTAAGAATGCAGGACATGACTCAATTGGACACACAGAACAATAACAGGACTTTTTAAAGTAGGGAGTGAGAAAAGGGACAACTGAGAGAAACTTTATAGGCTGGACCGTGGCAACCTTTCCCACCCCAGAGAGCATCCGCTGAGCAGAGACTGGGCTCCAACTTGAATCACAAGTAGTTCAACTACCAAACGCTAGCAATTTAACCAGCAAAGCACCAACTCTCTTTCTCTTTCTACCCTCTCCCTCTTCTCACTACCTATGTAAACTCACCCTATTACTGTTGTGCCCAAGATCAGCAGACTCGGCGAGCATAGCCTCCAAGAATCCAAAGACAGCTGATGCAAATGCAAAAGGGAGTTTATTACGGGCTCGAGTCCGGGCTCACGGCACCTACCAACGCAGTGGCAGATAGCGAGAGCCCCGAACAGAGGAAGCAGGGGTCTATTATAGGGTCACGAGTGGCGTGAATTTTGAAAGAAGCTGGCAATTACTCATTGGCTACTACAAAGGCATTTTGGTGCGCGGTTCCAGTTTCAAACTGATTGGACGGTTAGAGATGCTGTCCCATTTATGGACAGGACTGCCCTCATTGGCGGCTGGGGTGGTCTGCTTTTTCGTCACCGAGTGGAGTGAGGGTTGTGACTGCTGAAACTATCTCCGGAATGCGGCTGGACAAGGACTAACATATCAAGGTGGAGGATATACAAAATGGCGAAACCTTGGCTAAACTTGGTTCTACAATTACTGTTTCTCTTTGTGTGTCTGCCTTTGGGTCCTATCCTCCATTTTTAAGCCCACGATGAGGACCCACCAGCCAGGTAGGTCCTTTCCCCCTGGGACTTCACATTTCACACCCAAGTAGGTTTTTGTTTGTTTTTCAGATTGTTAGAGGAACGGTGAGACGCAACCTCCGAGGCAGTGGGTGAGGCTCATAGCCAAGGTAGAGTGTTCTAGACTCAGTCCCCTGCTTCCCTAAATGGAGCCTGCTGAGTTGTGCCAACATGTTGATCTTGAAACACGGAACACAGGCATACCCGGTCTTTTTTTTTTTCTTTTGGTGGGCTTCCCACTGCACCCTGGTCTCTACTCGGCGGACGCCATCTTGTGGATAGGTCAGGCATCCGGTGATGTGTTCCCCGGCCAATACATTTCCTTTTCCTTCATTCTCCCATTTCCTCACTCCTTGTATAAATAAATCCTTTTGTTTTAGTTCTCTCTGTGTATTCTGCATTCCTAATCAAGCAGGTGAGGACTCACCAAGCAGGTCATCTCTGGTCCCCCCAGGTTTGCCCCATTTCACGGTTACAGATACCACCCTGTTCTGCTGCTTGGAGCCCTATTCCCTGTTGGCATTACCGGGGGCTTCTCCTGCAGAATCACCAGCCTAGCTCAGACCTCCTGAATGCGAATGTGTATTTTACAGACCAGTGGGGGTGCCCATATAGGTGAAACAATCCCAACTCTGGGGCATGTTTATTTCAATAGTCATTGAGTCAGCCTCAGTGCTTCAAACACTGGACTCTGTGCAAGCAGCTTCGAATTCTGACCCTGGGGAGTTATTTAATGTGCCTAAACCTGTCTGCCAAGGTGTGTGTGTGGCGGGGAGGAGAATAGCAATATTAATACTTAACTCCTAAGGTCATCTGAAAGAGTAAATGTGACTTTCAAATACGCACCTGGCACTCCATAGTGAGCACTCAGTAGGTATTAGTCCGTCTCCTTCATCATCGTGTTGAGCACCCACTACGTGCTACACCCTGTGCTAATGTGGAGATGAACCAGGCTTCTCTGTACCTTTCTGGAGCAGCTTTCAGCCCACTCTCAGCCACATGGTACCAGCAGCTCATCATTTGCTGAGATCCCACATGAGCAGAAGACAGTCTCTGTCCGCCCCCAAGAAAGCAGCAGGCAGATGCCCTCCCACTCTACCCCCCAAAAAGCAAATATGGTGCCCAGAACTCAGGAAACCCACATCCGGAGCCTGGCTCTGACATCACTTGGCCTCTGCTGCTCTGGACTTCAGCTCCCTTCATCTGCAAAATGAGGAAACTGAATCAGATTATCATTGAAATCATCTTCATCTCCCCCAGTACAGTCCCACACCTTCAGGGAAACTACTGCCATGGGGCATGAAACAAGATCCCCCCACTCCATCCCCACCCCATCCTAGGCCTCCTGGCACAACACACCTTTTCCTGCTGGTGTCCATGGCATCTGCATTCCAGGCAGGTGGGAAAGTTCCTCATTCTGACTTGGGCCTAGATGAGCTTTCAAAGGAGAAGCCGAGGCACAGCCAGGTGTGTTCTGCTGTTCCTCTTCCTTCCTGGAGACCTGCTCTGACATCATAACTGGGCACCTATGGCAACACATTATGGGGCCATCTAAGTACCTCACAGAGGAACCCGGTGCCTCATTTCTGAAGTGAGATTAGGAAGAGAAGATGAACAATTCCCTGGATTATCTAGCTTACCCTGTTATCGTGTCTAATCATAGACAGACCACAACCTTCAGGAAGAAACTGGACTTTGGCCACTACATATTTCACAAGAATAGAATACAAATAGGTATGTGGGTAGTTTGGACAGGACATTGCGACTAGGGCTTCTGAAAGGGCCATTATAGAAATATTGATAGGAAACCAGACCAGCATTTGGCATTGCAGATGACGTGGCCTTATCTGCTGAGTTGGGTCAAGTGATAAAATTCATCTCCCCCCAGGTAGTTCATGGATTAGAAATACTCACTTGAACTCTTTAAAGCCAACGTGAGCTAGAAAGAGGATAGGATTTCCACCCTAATAGACTAGTCAT